AACACACACACACACACGCACATACACCTGAGTGATTTGTGTGCTGACTGGACTCCGGCCCTCTTTTGGTCGGAGGGACCGAAATAGTACCAATCAATTTGCTGACACACAGTGATCTCAATTCAATCTGTGATTCTGTCACTTAACTTTTTTTGATAAAGACAAAGAAGAAACCAATGAACAAGAGTGTTGACATTTTTCAATTGTCTCGATTATCTTGACGTACCTTTCTCAGCTTTCACGAACGAAATGCAAGGAGAAACATAACATATTGTAACTGGGAAACGGAAACGGTGGGTTTTGTGCAGTAAAAGGTGTACATAACTATCAGTTGATCGATTAAGAGCTAATACCTTGCTGGATCAATTGCGTATGATAAAAAATGAAAAGTGCTTTGTTACATCACTTGCCCCGCCACCGAAACCCAATTATTTAATAATGGCCAGACTAATCTTACAAATTTCATATACATATATATATGCATATGCAAATCTCATTTGCAATTATTTTGTATCAGTTTTTGTGGGAGCGATGCGTACAACCTCAGCCAACTGGACGCTGGAGCAGATTTTCAGTGTTTTATAGTGTGCATTATATGAAAAACTGGAAAAAATTTACCAGATGGTTTTAAATCGCTGATGGGTCATTTGGGCCGTTGTTGCACTGACTAACTCCTTATCAAAATGACTGATAAATTTCTTATCCTTCGCTTTGCAAAATAATAGATACTGCAATTTTGCAAGAGTTTCCACCATTACTCTTTCCTCAGAATCTTCACATCACAAATACTGCGGTAGTTGCATCTATCTGGCTAAGTCTAAACAACAACAACAACAACAACAACAACAACAACAAAAAGCAACGAAATTCTCCGCTGTATAATGAACAATTCACACTCGAATGAATATCGCATCTTCTTGGGCGGCACTGTTCTTGGGCTTTACTGCTCAAAACTGTAACACTGAGAACAACTCCACTAAGTAGACCCAGTCAACCAAGTCAGTTGTGTGTATTGAAGTCATGATAATTGGTTTCGAGGAATACGTCAGTTCACTAATTATTTCTAGTATATTTAAGCATTCACTAGGACCGCATTGAGCTTGTTTCACCAAAGCAATCAATGCTCGTGATTATGATTTTCTGACGCAATGTGCAACTGTCTGTCGTATGAATGTTTCGTCTTTTTGCACTATTTTACCATTGCTTAATTCAATCTACGTGAGCAAAACTGCATAAATGAACTGTACCCAATTCACGACCCGAAATTCCATTGTGAACAAGAATATCAATAGTGGGCAAATATTTGCTCTGTACGGAGCAGCGAATGCGTGCCTTGATTCCCGTGAAACATTCCGAGGTTTTGTCCCGCAAACCGGTTGCTGAGCCGTCTTGGATTGGGCCCGACGACGGTTCCCGTTCAATCCAGGAAAGATCATACTAGGTTATTTAGACAGCCTGGCCATTAAAGTTTAACATTCAGCTGTGTTTCGACAAACTGTCTATTCAAACTAAAACGAAAGACTGACTAACTCACGGAGGAGGAGCCAGTGATCATTTGGACTGTTTATTGCATAAAAGAGAGTTATTCGGTGGCATAGAGCGCAATTAGCGTAAGAGATATGCATAAAATGTCCAGGTATTTCTAAGTTTATCTCACTGGGAAAAGAAGATAATATTTAGGTCGATGCAATAATTTATTTGCCCGATTATTAGTTGATAAGCATTTCTATCAACTCCTAAATCTTACAATTGAGCAACATGAATGCGCGATATGTTTGGTATTACCAATCCTACAATCGTCTGAATTGTCCCACATAGCACAAAGGAAAAACCAAAGTGCCCACTAAATGAGTTTCATAATTCGACGAATAAAACACAAGAGGGGATTGTAAGTGTAAGAATAATTTGCGTTTTCATAAAATAGAGCCCTAAGTGTCTACCGATTCTCACGTATGGTTTAGCAGGATAAATTTAACGCCTGGCGAATTTTTTTTAACCACTCCTGTTTATACAGTTTGGCCAGAAGAGTTTGCAAACTTGTGCAAAATGTGTTTCAGCCCACAGAGCCGTATGTGGAGGTGGATCCCGACTGTCTCTCTATCTGTTGTGACCAGAATGCAGAACTGTGCGTGCTTGTTTGTACAGGTCCGTTTTGACTCTATCCGTACAATGTAAAAGTTCTCTTGCAATGCAGACGGAAACTGACTGTTATCAAAAATTAGAGCTGTCAGGCTATTATCCAACCGATTTTAAAAGTTTACCGAATGTCCAACAGGACTTGGTTGTCACTGGATCCGGGTAAGAGACAAACCCCGAATACTGCGCTGAGTTTCCAATGGTAACGCTCTTTCTCTGTCTGGTAGTTTGAAGTGTCATGCAGTTATACTCTAATTAGTTGAGTAAAGACTTGGAAGCACCTGCTCAGGGAAAACCTCTAGTGACAGTCTGGCGACATCCTCAAGTTGCAACGCAAAATAAGGACAATGAGGCCTAATTTGCCTATTTGGACAAGTATGTGAATAGTTTGACTACTTCAGATGAGTGAGAAAAATTAGCAACACATTTCAGCATTGTTTATTAAATAAATCTTAACGCGTAGCCCAACTCAACATGAATCCCAAAGTAAAACACGATTGATTCGCAATTTTCTACGGTACTATACCTTTTCAATGTCACGTGAATCCGTTGTAACTTCAAGTGAATCCAACCAATCGCATTCCACTAGGAATCCAAGAAGATTATTGGTGTTTCGGCCATCAAACGTCACCGATCGGACTGGTTCTGTCTAAACCCCCTCCAGTCCGAATGAACTTACTTCTCCGTAAACAAACAAAAGTAATTTTCCAGTGGGTTACCAAGCGAGGAGGAAACTTTCGGTGGGGTGAGGTGGACCGTTCTCACCCCCTCCCCCCCCCCACACCCGTTCTAGCCGGGAACGTTATGTTCGTGAGCGTTGATCGAGTGTGCGGCATAGATACGAATGAACTAACCCGGAGTCAACTGACCTCTGTCGGTCCGGTAAGGGAGCGAAACACTTCAAGATGGATCGTCAAGTCGGTCACCATGCCCAGACGTGAATGTGAGCATGATTCATTGCATGAGTGGAGTCGGTCTAAACCCTCAATAACCCAATGAGTAAATTCCATTGAGACCGAGTTTCTCTCGAATAAAACCGATTCCTTTGAATCAAATGCGTTTGATTACGTATTTCTGGCGCTGAAATGCACACTTCATAAGATACTTAACAATGGTAACAATAGTGAAAGAAGTAACAGTACTTTACCTGATTAGTAAGATCAAATTCGAACCCACTCACTGAGTAACAGAAATCATATTTTTTTCTTTCATTCCCTGGCTGAATAAAACATTCAATACCGAATGCCAACGGCAAAAATCTG